AAGTATTCCGTAGACAGTAAAGCACTCTGGGCCGAAATCAGGGCCCCCGAGTTCACGCCGAAGGATCCGGAGGCATTCCTGCACTTCTGGAATCGCGATTCCTTGAAGCTCACATCACAGGGCAACTGTCCCGTTACCATAAGCTGTTGTCTGCGATCCCGCGGGACATGCTTATCATCTTGAAGGATATTCACATGAATATCTCTGCGACGTGCTCAAAGAAGGACTCCTTTGTTGTATGGCAGTTTCAGAAGAGAAGAGCATTCAGCTGCTCGTGTCCAAGATCTAAATTGGAAATCTTAAGCCCTCCCAGTTGTTGCGTCGAATGCGTGAGATAGTTGGCAACACCACGCTCGACGACTGCGCACTACGCCAGATTTGGCTTCGGGGGCTTCCGCCATACGTCCAGAGTATTCTAAACGTTTTCGCACACACCCATAGTCTAGACCAATTAGCTGAGGCTGATGACCGTGCCATGGAGGAGGCCCAACTTTTTCAGTCCTCAATGGCAAACATCGGGAGTCCGGAGCCAAGTATCGTTCAACAGAAGCTCCTCAACCCTACTCCCAGTAAGCTCCCCCACGAGCTCACAGCAGAAGTGCAGCTTTTATCTCAGCAGTCGGCCAGCTTTCGCTCAGCTATGGCCACTATTCAGACCACAATCAACAATCTGCAGACCACCCGCATGACCCGTAGTCGTTCCCGGTCAAGCAACGGGCGCAGGCGAACCCCATCTAGGGACGGTCTGTGCTATTAACACAGACGCTTCGACAATCAAGCTAGGAAGTGCGAACTTAGATCTAGGCTTAAGACGCGTCTTACCTTGGGTTTTCGTGGTCTCTCAGGTTCCTTACGCCATACTTGGCCTAGACATTTTACAGCACCACGGTCTAATCGGAGATCCCCGCAAGCGATAGACTGGAGACCCAGTCACTTCTAGAGTAGTCGCCGGTTACATGGTATATTCGGAAACGCAGAATATACACCTCCCTTTTTCACACGATGATTCGCCATATGCATCGTAATTCCGCCATTTTCATAGCCTCGTCCACCCCAGCACCAAGCTTCCACCTATCACGACAGAGGTGTGGCACCACATACCTGCCAGCAAAAGCGCGAATCTAACGCGCAGTATTTTGCGTTTCGCTTCACTAAAGTTTTCGCGAAAAATTTCTCGAATACATCGCGAATTTGCAACAGGCCTTTTGAGCATTTTTTCCTTCCCCCACGAATCGAACCTCTTTTATCCTATAATTTCTCCTCCCTTTGTTCCACTCCCCATTATACTCCTAATATGCCTACCTCGTTCATTTATGATCAACATGTCCCATAATTCTCACTGAACTGCTACGCCTATATTTGAACCTACCGGTTGGCTTCTATCGATTAATCGTTGAACTACTCAAGGCCTATCTATTACCAATAAAAACCGTGTTATAAAAGACAGAAGGATGTATTCAAATCATATCATTTAACAGGAACAAAAAGATGTACAACATTTGGAGTGCCGCTTCATCGATATGTGTAAATGAACTTCTTCAATACCCGGATACCTTCTTGGTAATTGTATTCATCGAACTGGTGACGGTAAATGGCATCTACAAAATGAAAATATGAACGAATATTAGATGAGTGAAATTGTAAAATCATAATGATGCAAAACATCTCAGAACTGAATAATCGAATTATATATACTGAATTCCAAATAAACGATCCATTAGAAAATAGCGATAACCATCCGAAATATGATAAGAAAAGTAACATAAGAAATAATTTCTTAAATATCAACGGAACACTTGATGATTAAATCGTTACCAGATGTAAACATTACAAAACTCATTAGCATTTCCACTTAGCCATGATAGCGTTTGTTATACGTGATGTACGCAGTACGCGTTTTCCCCGGATGCCATTCCAATTCAATTTTTTACTTAACTGTGGGGTGAACACGCGTCTGACCAGTAGACTTATTGCCTCCCCCATTGTGTCACCTCCATAAGCGACGAGATAATCCACCTGTAACGATGACATCCACAGTCATTTACACTAAATGATAAATGTGTGGCCACTAAATTGGAAACAAACCAACGAACTTGTTACTCCTCCTTGAGTTTGTAACTCCAATACGCATACGAGTAAACCCAATTTCGTGATCCGATACGAACGAGCTTGATCAACAAGACAACGACCGATCCGGAACAGGAACGAACGATCTCTAGCTGTCTCAACAAACGATCCCCATCGAATGAACCCAATACGAACGAGAAGTGAGCACACAAATTCAACGAATAGAGCACGATAATTTATACGGTATCTATAAAAGGTCATAACCAAATAATACAAAAAATGTAAAACATACTTGGATGTATGCTCACCCAAGCAGAACTCAGGAATCAACAGAAACAGGGAGAAGGCTCAACCGAGCTGACAAAGCAATATGTCCGGTCCAACGTCAATAAATGTGAAATTGATACATTTAAACAAACATGAAGTTACAGACAATAAGGAGTAGAAGTTGTGAGAATTAAGCAATAAGAAGGAAGAAAGAGAGAAATCCTTTCAATTCATCAACGGTGCATTGGCCGCCGTTACAATCTCCCCCAAAAGCCCTTCCT